CCTTAGCACTTAGTAACTAAAGGACAGTGTAACACTAGGTGCCTTAGGTGCAAAAATATGAACAAAAACACCCTTTAGAACACTATTACACACACAACTATATAGAGAGAGGAGTATATAGAGAGTAATATATAGCTCTATATCAGATTGTTCAACCTCTGGAAAGGGAGGAGAGGCCCTCCTCTTATAGAAAATCCAATTCCAAGCTTCCAAGGGAAGCTAAGTGTAAGGATGAAATCCCTCCATACACGTGTATGGAGGGCAGAGTCTGTGCTCACCAACTGGCATAGCTGGCATGCACAGTGCCTGAAAAAGGTAAGGAAAATGCCTCGGCCAGAAGAGTGGCCGATCGACCAACTAAAGTGCCGACCGACCAACACATTTGGCTGGTAGAAAGAAAGCAAGGCTGGTGGCCTCATGTCATGGCCAATGAGTTGAGGGGATGGCTAAAAGGCCACTTCCTACCCTCAGGTGCAAAAACCAACATGTTCTTAGTCCACAACCAAGCACTAAACAGTCAAGTTATGAGATCTTAAGGCAAGGCGCGCAGCCGAGACTTCGAGAACTCAAAAACAAACACGAAGATAGATGATCATCGAGTGTTCAAACGATGACGTCCAAGTCTTGAGGACGGTCAAAAATGGGGTGTCTACACACCCCTCATCCTTGGCCGGCAGTGGGCATACTTGGTCGGCAGTGGGGTCGGCAGTAGCTTCTCATGGCCGGCAGGCCACTGGTGCACTCCCCAGCAGTGCTTTGGTAAGTTTCAGCAGCAAGCACTGGAAGACATCCTGCAAGCAAAGCCTCTGAGAGCATTCGGAGAGCTTTCGAGACGGGAACCGAGCATGCATCTTCAACTTCTTCAAGGCAGGCTAAGACAGCCTAGTTTCCATATTTTAATGCTTACTTGTTAGTTAGTATTCGAATTTGTAATTAATTTGTTAATTAATTAAGTTTTGTAATAATTAGTTGTAGCTAGTTATTCAATTTGGTTATGTATAATTAGTTTAATTAGCGTAGCTAGTTAGCTAAATCCATTCGGACCCTCCGTCGAGAGGGCACAATTGTTGTAATAAGTGTGGCGTGCGTGTGTGCATGTCTCCAATCCCATGTTTTTCTCCCTTTTACTTAACCGCTTACAATGGTTAGTTCTAGGGCATATTTTCAATTAGCATCCTTATGCTTTGCATGCGTGCATCCATTCATCTATATTGCATGCACCGGGCTCGGCGTATCATACTAACTGCATCGTATTTCAGTACTGACTTGAATACATGTTATAAAGTTGCATTTCATATGCCATCTTAGAATGACGAGCCTATTTCTAGTTGCATTTTGCATGTGTTGCATTAGCCATCTTAACATGAACTAGGATCATGCATTGATTACTACTAGTTTCTATTTTGGCTCGGAGTACACTGTGAGTGTTTACGCTTTAGCATATTATATGTGTGTGAGTGTTGCCATGATAGCATGCTTGCCATGAGGCTATTTGCTTAAGTGATATAACTGCCTGAATGCCCATGGGTGAATGTTAGATTACTTGAATTGGAACAATTCATCAAATCCGTATTTTAGCCTACTTATGAGTAGCAAACTTCAAACCATTTTCCAAACAAACGGATATGCAATGCTTTGTTCTAAAATTAGGCGATCTAATCTATACTTGTTTTGTTGTGCGCATCACATAGTAATTCTAGCTAATTAACCAAAATAAGAACACATGCATTTTCAAAAATAAGATATCATGTTTAGTACGGGTATGTATGTATATATTTTAGATTTTTGTATATTTATGTCTTGGATTTGGGATTTTATATATTATATATGTGTGTGTGTATGTAGCAATTTTATAAAGTCTTTCAATTATGTTTGATGAATTACAGAATAACTTATTTTATATTTTGTATTTTTTTCTCCTCATTCTACAGGTTTTGTATGTTTGTATGGGCAAATTTACATTAATAAAATATCAGTAATTAGTATCTTTTGTTTTAAAAATTAATTAACTTTAATGATTAACTAAAATAAAGAGTGTGGTTGGAAAACACAATAGCTAAAGTAATTAGGTAAAATAAAGAGTGTACTTTTTTTGTACTTTAACTAGTGAAAAGCAGAGAGTGTGGTTGGAGTTGCTCTAATGAGCTTTTCAAATGAGACTTGTTAGGCAAAATAGCTAGCTAATTTAACTTTTTGGGTTTTTTACTAGCCGGTCCTGAGTTTTTCACTTATTCCCCTCTTAGTCCTGAGTTTTGCTCTTGTGCACCAACAGGTCTTGAGCCTTTTTTTTTTGCCCCGTTTTACCCCTCCCTTGTTTTGGCGCGTTTCTGTTTGGATTTTCCATCAAAATATTGTGTTTGTGATTTGAATTTCTGTGGAACTTCACTATTTGCTACTGTGTTATTGTGGAGCTTCGTGATTTCTGATTTCGCGCTTGGTGTATCATCGCGATTTGTGATTTGCGATTGCGTGCTTGGTGATTCTTCCTATTTGCAATTTCGCGTTTGGTGTATAGTTATATTTTTTGATTTGCGATGTTGTGGTGTTAGGTTGACTGGTATGTTTGATTTTGATTTCAATTTCAATGTTTTGGTTCTTTTTAGTTTGAGTTGGTGATTTTGATTTTGTGGTGATAGTGTTGTTACTTTGTTGTTTCTGTTGTGATTGAATTTGTGTTTTGATCATGATATTGAAAGTTTTGAGATATGTATATGTTGATTGAATTTTAGATTTTTATTTTTTTTGGTTACGAAATTGTGTTGATTGAACACAGGTGTTGGTTTGTTATTTTATACAGTGATAATTTTATCACTGTGTATTTTGGGGGTGATGTTGGATTAACTTTTTCAACAGTGATAAATTTATGAGTGAGTATGGGAATAGGAGATGAAAAGGTTGCATAATGTAATAGTAAGATTCAAATCGAGCTACCATGTCTAATAAGTGTAAGCCTTATTCACTGTTTTTGGTTTTTGGTGGTGTTAACTGTTAAAGTTATCAGTGTTGGTTTTTGGATGTGTTTGAGTTGGTTGATAATGTTGTCACTGTATTTGATTTTGTTTTATGATGTTTGAGTTGTTTGCTGAAATGTTAATTGTTGTTTCTTGCAGGATTTATAGTGATGGAGAATTGTTTGTTTCTTATGTGCAAGTTTAGAGGTGTGACATTGGTTATCAAGTATAATAGTAGTAGTAGTAGTAGTAGTAGTAGTAGTAGTAGTAGTAGTAGTAGTAGTAGTAGTAGTAGTAGTAGTAGTAGTAGTAGTAGTAGTAGTAGTAGTAGTAGTAGTAGTAGTAGTAGTAGTAGTAGTAGTAGTAGTAGTAGTAGTAGTAGTAGTAGTAGTAGTAGTAGTAGTAGTAGTAGTAGTAGTAGTAGTAGTAGTAGTAGTAGTAGTAGTAGTAGTAGTAGTAGTAGTAGTAGTAGTAGTAGTGTTGTTTGTGAAACTGATTTTTTGCCTTCATTTTTATTCAAATCAACGGAAACCTTTACTCTCCGATGGGTGGGTTAATTGTATGAAAGGAGTGGGACAAAGGTTTGCTCAAGGAGTTGTTGAATTTCAAGATGCGCTGTCAAAGTATACTACTCATTCCGATTTTAATTTTGATTTTGTTAAGAATGATAAGGATCGTGTCACTGGTCATTGTAAGAGAAGGGCTGATTTGGGATGTTTATGGAGCGTGCATGCTAGAGTGGAAAATTATAGTAAAGCTTTTGTTATTAAACAATTTGATGATGTACATACTTGTGGATCTTCTTTTTGTACAATTAAACATGCTAGGATGACTCAAGTATGATTGGTGGGCTAATTTCAAGTGGTATTCGTAATAAGGCTTGACATCGGTTAGTGAGGTGGTTTGTGATTTTAAGGACTATTATGGAACATAAGTTTCTTATCGACGAGCTTGGATGGGTGTTGAAAAAGCAAGGGGTCTTGTTTTTGGTGACTGTTCATCATCATTTGACGATCTTCGTTGGTATATTGATGCCGCTAATGCTTGTAATCCGGGGAGTGTTTTTGATATGGAATTTGATATTGATAGTAAAAGAAGACATTTCAAATGCTTGTTTTTCGCTTTTGAGGCATGTATTCATGGTTTCAAGTATTGTAGGCCTGTGTTGATGCTTGATGGAACTTTCTTGAAAGGAAGACACAAAGGTTGTTTATTGGCTGCTACGGCAAAAGATGGTAACCAAGGTATATTTTGTGTCTCTTTGTTATTATTATTGAAACAGTGATAATTCTATCATTTTTGTTACTAGAGAGTGCTAATTATTGAGTATGATCAATCTATTAGTGATAAATTTATACTGTATACTTTTGTTAAATTTTTATATTTATATAATGATAAATTTATCTATGGCTAGTGCTATATGTTATATACTTTGTGTTTTGATTTTCTTTTTGTAATTTTTTTATTTGTTATTGATAACGTGCATATATATATATTTTTGTAGGTTTATATCCGTTATGTTTTGCGATTGTTGATAGTGAAAGTTATGACAGTTGGCGTTGGTTCTTGTCAAAGTTATTAGGTATTATGACTCCGGAAAGGGATATTGCGTTTGTTACTGATCGACATGGAGGTTTGTTGAAAGCTTTAGCTGAGGTCTTTCCGTTTTCTTCTCATTCTTTTTGTCTAATGCATTTGAAGACAAACTTGAAGACTTATTTGTCAGTGAAGAGTCATGAATCTAAAGAGTATTTGCTTACGCTTTTTAGTAGATGTGCATATGCTCCTACTATTGAGTTGTTTATTGAGCTATTTGAAGAATTTAAGGGTTTTTGTGGTCGTAGTGTTGAGAAGTTTCTTGAGGATTTGCCTAATGAGTGTTGGTGTAACGCTTATTTTCAAGGCAAGAGGTATGGTGAAATGTGCACAAATGTTGCGAAATCTTTTAATTCATGGATTAGGGATGAACGCCATTTGTTTTCAACTAGTCTTGTTGATGCTATACGGGTGAAACTAATGGAGCAATTTTCAAGAAGGAGAAAAGTTGGGAATAAGTGGAATCATATTGTTTGTCCTTTTGCAGAGAAAAAGTTGGAAGAAGCCTTTAATGATACAAAAGCATGGTTAGTTAAGAAATGTAGCGATGACATTTATGAAATCCAATTGGATCATTCAGTTATGGTTGATATTGGGAAATGTTGTTGTTCTTGTTGATAGTGGGAAATTGATTCTTTTCCTTGCAAACATGGTTTTTGTGCTATAAAGAGGAGTGGGAAGGATCTGAATTGCTTTCTTGATGATTATTATCGTGTTAGTAGTTATTGTGATTCTTATTCACATTCTGTCTATCTAGTTCCTAGTATGTGGAAGCCAAATGTAGTTGTTGATGATGACGTTGTTTTACCTCCTCTTTGTAAGAGACCAGCTGGACGTCCAAGAACGGAGAGAATACCTTCTAAGGGCGAAATCAAGAGAATTAGATACAGTAGGTGTGGAAAGATGGGAACTTATAATCGGAAGACATGTAAAGAAACTTTGCTTTAGTTGTATTGATTTTAATTGAATTACTTTGTTTGAGAGGTGTTACTTGCATTGAATGATTGAGTATTTTTTGAAAGATGTATCATTTTGGTACTCGCATTGAATGATTGAGGAATTTGTTGATCAGAAATTATATTTTTTGCTGATATTTTTACAGGATTAAGTTTTATAAATTTATATTATTTGATTTAGGTTAAATGTAGTTGCTATTTTTGGTGTTTTATAAAGTGATAAATTTATCACTGGTTGGTTTGGACAAGTTGATGGATTATTTTTTTGTAAGAATGATAAATTTACCATTAATGTGGTTCTTGTATTTTGTTATTTTGAAGAATGATAAATTATGGGAAGAGTTGATGGTTTATTACATTTATATCAGTGGTTGATAAATTTATCACTGTCATATCCAAGCAAATATTCTTTTCTACAGTGATAAATTTATCATTGTCTGGAGTTATTTAGTTTTCCCATGAAAAATTTCCACAGTACAAAGGTGTAGATCAAATCTCTAGAATACATAATTGCATATCTGCTGTGTTAACTGCTTTAAAAAGCAAAAAAAATTGGATCAACTACCATGTTTATCTGGTTTAGCAACAAGTTCTCAGTCTACATACTGTTTTGTGGTCACTCAGAAGCTAGCTTTGGATGTTTGAGTTGTTTAACTGAAGTATCAAATGGTTTTGATTATTCAGAAATCACCAAGGATGATATATTTTTACATTCATTCTCAAAGTTGGGAATATCTACAAATTGTAACATTATTTTTATTTCCAATTTGGACAATGTAATAGTGCTTGTGTTTTAATTTTCAATTAGGTAAATTTTTTATTATTTTTTATAGCATTTTGTTTACTTGAATTGGGGAAAAAGAATGTGAGAGAGAGAGAGAGAGAGTCGCTGTTTTTTTTTTATTGAACAGTGATAAAATTATGAGTGTTCACAGTGATAAATTTTTTGAAACAGTGATAAATTTATCAGGGTAAACAAAACACTATAAAAAATAAATTTATCAATATAGTGACTTCAAACCTATTATTAACCTTTAAATTCAACACAAATACTTAGATTAGAATCATTGTTTTGAATGAAATTTGGATAACAAGACAGATATCAAAAGCCAGATCTGGTAGCGATATGGCTAAAAAAGATTGAATGTTTCATTGAAGCAAATTTGAGATTGTAACAACCAAGCATTGTCCATAACTTTGACATTGTAACAAGCAAGCACTGTCCATAACTTTGACATTGTAACAACGAAGCATTGTAATACTCATTGCAGGAAAGTAAGAACCAAAATCATCAAAATATAGGTAACACTGTAACAAGCAAAGAAGCAAAATGTATGAAGTATTGACATTTTAACAACCAAATCGATCAGTGTTTCCTTTTGTTTTCTTCTATTCCAGATCTGTTGATTATTGTAGAGGCAAGTCATCAATGTTTTCATCAGGTATTTGTCGTTGAGCAACTTGTTGGTCAGTCAAGAAGATAGTTAACATATCAGCTCTCAGTTGATTGCATTCTTCCTTGGAAAATGTAGGCATTATGTTGTTATTAGAAACATATTGCCTGATGATATAGCAAACAAGGATTCTACAATCAAGCCTGCAAAAACATTTTGAAAACAAAATATTATAATTTGGTTTTGTTGCTTTTTTTTTTTTTTTAATAACAGTGTTTTGTTATTGATAAACTTACGATGTGTCTTCTTGTTGTGGGCTGTTGATGACGTTCTCTGTCTGCTATCAAAATTTATCAGGGTGACTGAGAGTTGGCTTCTCATCCTTTATGTATTTTTCAATAATCTCTCTCAGCAACATATACATTTGTATAATTGTTCTTAGAAAGTCAGTTGAAACAATTAATGAGAAACCATGGATTTAAAGAATGATAAACATATTACTGTATAAATTTTTTATGTATAATTAAGCATGGATCAGGATTTATGTATTGGATTAATGGTAAGTTTGATAGTGAAAAGATTTTTACCACTTCATTTGCGGCATTGAAGTGTGGATCTTTAGCCATTGTTCCCCTTGGTCTCATTGAATTGTAGAATTTCCATGAAGCTTCTTCAATGTCAAGGGCAAGTATTGTCCAGTGAAAATTTTGGTGGATTGGGAAGAGAAGGTATCTTGCTTTCATGGCTCCAGGCATCATTTTGTTCAGCATTCTCTTTCTTGCTTCCTCATCTTTTGTAGTGAACAAGTGCTAACAAATATAAATAAAAAAAATAATGTTAATTTAACTTTAAACTTTTTCAGATTAAATAGGTGGTGAGTATGAAACTTTTTGTCGCTGTGATCAAAATTTTATTAATACATATCAAAATTTATTAGTGCAATGCAAAATTCATCTATACTACATATAAAGGGAACACATCTATTCGTGTGTTGAGGCCTTTTTTTCTCCTCCATGTGAAATGGATCTTTATATCCCCTAATATATCTATACTATGCTTCTCTTTCATTCTGTAAATATTCATAGATGATCTGTAATAGGCTATATATCGATACTGCTTATTTCAAGTACACTCATGTGAGCGTGCACATCTACTAATATATATATATATATATATATCATGATTCTCTCCATTCCATTGTTGTAATGAAAGTTGTCCGTTATTTAATAAATTACATCAAACAAGAGCTCTATGCGGCTTCACCACTAACAAAATGAAAGTGAACTATGTCCTGCAACATCATAGCATATAATCAAGCTATTTCAATTTCAACACATCTCAATATTTGTTGAAGTTCTCAATCTCATATGCAGTAGTTTTGAAAACCCAAAAAAGTGTCCAGAATTTGTAATCAAAGTCTGGGATTTACTCATACTGTGGCGCCACAATAACAAGGTCAAAATATATAACAGTGATTACAAAATCTGAGTTAGAAATTCTGGTTTGTTTTGCTTGACTTTTTGTTTCACATGTCAAGCTTTGAATTAGGAAACAGGGCTAATTGAAGAGGGAAGGTAGTGTCATATGTTTGAAACTAGTTACTCAGTTAAGCAAACAGAGGTTATATACTGATAAAAAACAAAACAAGTGTTGTTCCTCAGTTAAGCAAACTAGTTACTTACATGGCAACTTGAAATGAATACGAATGATGTTGTTCCTTGTTTTTGTGTAAGCAAGTGTTCTGCATATGCATCTATTACCTGTGTTGAAAACAAAAAACAAAACAAGGAATTAATATAAATCAAACACTAAAATGTTACTTAAATGAGTTACAAATTCAACTTACAATGCCTGCCAAATCTTGACCCTTCAATGTTTTGTCAAAGTCATTTAAGTAGACATAGGTTCCACGGTGAGATCCTTGCCACACTGGCTGATCCTTGAAAAAAAGGTTATTAGTGTTGGAATAATAAATTTATTAATATTTTTGGAATAGTTGATACTTATAAATTCAATATGAGTTAATGATAAACAGTCGGCAAAAGTGAACTACAGGAGTCAAGAGAGAAGATTGTTACTTTTTTTTTTGTATTCGCCCAATGTGCAATGAGATTTTGCCTTGATTTTTCTGGTAGGATGTTGAAAATTTCATTTGAAGTTTTCAATTTCTTCATTGTAGGCTGGTGTTGTGTGTGTTGTTCTTCTGAGTACTTGTTTGCCTCAGCCAATGTTGCAATTCTCTCATGGAGTATTTTGATTTCTTCATCTTTCCTTTGCATCTATTTTTTGTGCTGATCTTGAATTTCCTTTTTCAGCTTGTTGAGTTACTGCTGCAGGTTATCATTTGTAGTATGAAGGATGTCCCTTTCCATTTGTAACTTTTCCATTTTGAGCATGTGGTCTTCTATCCTCTCAAAAACAAGTACTTCTACCAGATTTGGATCCACTTCAGGCTCTTTGTCAACTTTGTTTCCTTCACTCTTTTGTGATTCAAATGGAACTATTTTCTTTTTCTTTTCAGGGCATATTTTGTGTGGAATTGGTTCCCATGTTTCATGTTTGGATTTGTCTTCAGTCAATGTTTGTTCTTCTTTTTCAGAAATTTCAGCCTGATTTTGTTGCTGAAAATCAACATCTTCATCTTCATCTTCATCTTCATCTTCATCTTCATCTTTATCCTGAATTTTTCCTAGCAACATTCGGTATATTTTTTTCTCTTTATCTGTGTGCTTCAAATTGTTCTCCTATATAGATGAAAATTAAAAAAATGAATGATATGATACAAATTTTAGAGATAAATTTCTCATAGCAAATTTTATCACTCAATTAGAAAAATTAAACAAATTTATGATTGTTATAACAAATTTTATCACTGAACTAGGCATAGTAAGCAAACCTGTCATTGTATATCAAATTTTATCATTGAATTAGCAAAAGTAAGCTAATAAAGTAAATATAAGACAAAATGTCTAATTCAATTCATTTTAACGGATAAATTTATCAATATAGAACCCTAATTAATTCTAGTCGAATATAAAGTAACACAAATAAAGTAAATATGAAACAAAACTCATGCACAGTAGACAAATAGAAAAAGATTCACTACATAAAAGTATCACTCAATTAGGTATACCAAGGGAAATTTGTCAGTCAATTAGGCAAATTAAATAAATATATTAGTGTGAACAAAAATTTATCACTGCATAAGAAAATCTATGATTTGTTTAAACAAAACAAAGGTTAACATTGCATACCACAATATCTTTTAACTCTTGCAAGGATGAACTTGCCAATTGCTGTCCCAAACATGTGATGTTCCATTTAGCAAATCTTGGGATTGTATTTTTGGCATTGGGTTTGATAGTGCTCGTGTGTTCGCATATCCAATACTGTTGAAGACAAAAAAATTGTTATAAACAAGTATTTAGTAAACGTAAATATTATAGTTCATAAGTAATAAATGAGATATTTACTTACCAATACGACCATTACACATCCGGACACTTTATCAATTTGGTTGATGTTTCTTTCTATTGATTTTTTGAGTTGTTGCTTTGCTGCGTCGCACCAATCATAAGACTTCATTTTGTCAATATCC